GAAAGGTTCATTTTATGTGTATTATTTTCCAAAAATTTAGGGATTACTACTCACGTAATTTCCCCAAGGTTATTCAACATTCAACAATGCATCACATATTCATAAATTGTTCAACAAATAGTCAAATAGTATATCATATTCATACATACAATATATATATATATATAAGGTAGAAATGCATTTTGGTTGCAATGTGACTTACCTCAAATTCCAGAGATTCCTAACAAGCTTCTCTAACGGCCTCCTCTCCAAGTTCACCTTCTATTAATTAATAATTCCAAAGTCAATATTTATTCTAGATTATAATTTATTCATCACCCAAACATTTTGGATGAGCACTTTGGATCCGCTTTGAAAAGTGATTCTGCTCTCCCAAAAAGCACTTTGAAGCAGAAGCAGATTAGCAAGTGTTTGGATCTGATTAAAAAAATTCTATTAAAAAGGGTGTAGAATCAATTTGGGAGAAATTGGGTAGTACAGCTTCTAAAAATTAGCTTATGATTCTCTTAATTCTATTCCTAAAATAACCTCATCACACTTCCCGCATCACAACGCAATGCAAATCAACTATCCAAACTAGGGTATTCTTCTCCCTTCAGAGCTTCTCTTCTCCAACCATCGAGGCGACGCAACCCTTTAGGCTGGTGCTTGGCTTCTCCGGAGAGAGCTTCTCCGACCACCATCTCTGGGTGGCGTGTCTTGGCTTCTCCAGCGACTTGTCTTCTCCGACTTCTCCAGCGACTTGTCTCCTCCGACTTCCTTGTCTTCCACTCTAAGGTACACTGTGAACTTGTGAGTTTGTTGATTTGCTTGTTTATATGATTATTATTCCAATTATTGTGTTTGTTCTTCGATTTTTGGGTTAGTTTTTTTTTTAACTGGAAAAAGTACGAAACTAAAAACATAAAATAAAACGTAGGATTTTAGTGATGTGATTAAAAATGATTAAACATTTTCGTGATAGTCTGCTTCCTGAAGCCAAACATTTTCAAATATAAATTTTCTTCTCCAGCGGAGGCCTTGCATATATAGGATCAACTTAATAAATAAAGCCAGATGATTACTAGGAGACCCTTCTAAGGACTCAGCTGAAGCCTCCCATAAAATGTCGAGCCAACTCTTCATAACAAGGATTCTATCAAGCTTTTCTTCAACCCAATTTGGTGAACCTCTCCACCGTTTCCAAGTATACTGATACCCTTGGAACGCAAAGTTCGTGAGCCCACATTCCATACGGTTTCCTTGAAGCCACGCAAGAGCCAAGATGGTTGAGGGACCCTCCCTCTATTTTCCGAAGCAAACATAATATCATTAAAATCCCCCATAATCAGCCATTGGGCATCCTACCCTATGCTCAAGGACTTAAGCAAATCCCACGAATCCTTTCGCCTATGCCTCTCCGGGTATCCATAGAATCCAGTGAACCGCCATTCCACCCCTTCGGTCTCCAAATTAATCTTGGGAAAAGGGTCAAATAGGCACTCAAACTTACATAAAAAGGTCAAATAAGCCCTTATATAGGAAACTTTGTTATGCCGTCTCCATTTGAGGCGGTTCCTGGTTGAATTTTTTAGCATCTTATTCATTAAGTCTAGTTTACTCATACCACATTTCAGCTAAAACTTCAATCGAGAACGCATTCAAATGAATTCTTGAAGATAACTGCGCAATTATCTTCAAGAATTCATTTGAATGGCTTCCCGATTGAATTGTTAGCTGAAATTTGGTATGAGTAAACTAGACTCCATGAATAAGATGCTCAAAAAAATTCATCAAAAAATTTCACCGGGAACTTCCGCAAATGGCGACGGCCGGACAGAGCCTCCTATGTGAGAGCTTATTTGATCTTTTCATGTAAGTTTGAGGGTCTATTTGACCCTTTTCCCATTAATCTTTGAATCAATAAAATTAGGAGTTGAACCAAACACCTGAACATGCACTCCCTCACTCCAGAATAAGGCTAGCCCGCCCGCCCCTGTGACCCACAGTCCATCGCATAACAATAACCCATGCCCATTTTTTTCATAATACTCTCAACTTACTAAATTGGAAAAAGTCTCCAATTCTCCATTAAGAAGACTAACGACGGCCGCTTTGATTGAACCACGTCCATTAATGCCTGAACTGTCATTGGGTTGCCAAGCCCTCGACAGTTCCAACTAATACAACTCATTGCTCTCGACAGGTTTGGTCGTTTGGATACAAAAACCCTCTGCTTCCACGTCTTTTGAAAGAGTAAAATCCATACCATAAACTTGATGATCTTCACTCGTATTAGTTATTGCAACTGCCTTCTGTTTTTTTGTTGTTCCACCCTCGTTAAGATCTGATACATCCACTGCCGTCTCATCTTCATTTGTCGGATCTGCGGCCATCACTTTAGACGGTCCTCGAAATAGAAATTCCCCTCACTACCCGTTAACCATTTACTGCCCTTACTGACATTACCTCTCTTGAAGCGAGCCCTCATGAGCTCTCATCCATGGCCCAAACGGCATCTTCATACCCTCGACAGCATTAGCAAGCCTCTTAGGACACATGTGATCGACATGGTTCATGAGCCCACAAATAAAACAAAAATGGGGTAGTCTCTCGTACTTAACAGTCACCCAAAAAGGTACATCCCCCCTTTCAGCTTGACATGTCACTTGAGAGGAGCTTCGACGTCAAGGGAAGCTCGGATTTGCATAAATTCTTTATACTCCCCTTTGAAATAACTCTCATCGGCCTTCACAAAAATCCCAACCTGATCACCGACAATATTAACCACTTTTTATGTAAATAGCTCGAATGCAAGATCGAATGCCTGTACCCGGAACTCCATTTGGTCCAAAGGAATGCTGACATGATTTTTCGATGCCTCCAGTTTGTGTAGAATTAGAAGAGAGTACTGTCATAGCACCAAGGGCCATCCACCATAATCCGCTCGAAATCAACGTCATTGAAGAAGTGAAACAGGAATCTGGGGTCCCCCATTTCACGAATATTAACTCCTCCTGCGGGACGCCAAACGTCTGACATCATATCGCTAAAGAATGGGAAATGGAGGGCCTTATATGTTAATAAGCGTCTTACTAAACAAAGGGGTGCGAATGTTAAGACCACGTCGATGTCTACACCTTCGTCCTCGGCGCGCGTCTTGCAATCTCATAGCATAGAGGCCCTCCATATCATCAGCCATGCATGCACTAACTCGGCCACAATCGTCGAAAGGGATTAGCGTGAATGAAGAAACGAGGATGCAAACCCTAGACTGCAAGGGAGGGAAGTGTTTTATAACATATCTTTTAAAACCAAGAAAGATCAAATTATTTTCACATTCATTGAAAAACTTAAGACATAAATCTTAAACCTTTTAAAGCATGTTCCATTTACAAAATGAGTTAAATTGGATGATTTTTGCAAAAGAAAAAACAATTATACTTTTTCAACAAGACGTTTCTTTCCTAAGAATCTAGGGACAATTACAACAAAGTTTCGTAAAAAAAAAATTCAGAAATCCTAAAGAAAATTGAAAAAGAAATATGTTCCGACTTATCAAATGCTTTTTAGCATATCATATGAAAACGACTTTTCTGACAAAAAATACCCACGAAAACAAGATACATCCAAATAAATCATGAACTCAAAGAAAACTGTAAATTGAGATTCAAAATTTAGAACAAAAAAATCTTATTAAGAAATCTGGTTCTCCGTGGAGTTGTGCAGCTTTCTATGCCATAAAAAAATTCTGAAATTGAAAGAGGAACACCAAGACTTGTAATTAATTACAAGCCCTTGAATAAGGCCCTCAGATGGATATGTTATTCAATCCTAAATAAAAAAGACCTTCTACAAAACCTTCGCTCCGCTATTGTATTTTCGGAATTTGATATGAAATCTAGATTTTGGCATATTCAAATTGACCCGAAAGATCAATACAAAACAACATTTATTGTCCCCTTTGGTCAATATGAGTGGATAATTATGTCATTTGGATTAAAAAATGTCCCTTCAGAAGTCTGGAGAACTATGAATGATATTTTTAAGAGAGAATTAACTAACTAGGACTAAAACTTGACAAAAGTTCAAAAATAAGACCTTAATCATTCGTAGGAGTAAAAAGGACTTAGCTTCACAAAAATGCCCCTGCCTTCTTTTTTATTAATAATTAATATCAGATAAGGTAAAAAATACTGCCGTTGATATCTAGCGCTGAGATCAGGTGCCAACATGCCACCATCTCCGCTCTGGCGTCTCTTCCACCGCTCTGAGGCGAGTCTTCGTATGTCTTTGTCGCATTCTGTAACGTCGCCACCGCCCTCCGCCGAGTGCCCATCTGGCCGGATCCGACTGGTCTTTCATCGCCGCCAATCTCCGCTTTAGCTTCCCCATCCGACGTCTCAGTTTCATATCCCCGACTAGCTAGATTGCCATCTGCATAATGTAATGAAATAACATGTATTGCCCTGTTAAAATAAAATGACACTTTCATACAAAATAAAAGACATTTATAGATGTAGAAGAACATTGCTCTATCACACAAAAAATTATGGCTGTAACACCATGATTTTTATGAGCTAGTTATATTAACTATTAATCATTATTATTTATTTTAGTCTGTTAAATAAATTACTTGTGTGGATAATGTGATATACTCTTTTTCCATGTTTTGCTTGTGCCAGGTAACGTTGACCGGTAAGCTTCAACAATTTTTAGTGAAGAAATAATTGATAGTATATATTTTATAAGTATATTATCAAGAGGGAGAATATAATACTCCTTAATTCGGTTGTGTCACATTCAATTTTATTTTAGAAGACCCCGAATCAGTTATCTTTGGCCCAATCCATATTTTGAACCTATAAAGAAATATATATATATTCCCTTCATCCCTTATAACTTTGCCAATTTTTTCTTTTTTGATGTCTCATTAATTATTTTTTTGGACACTTTCTCTTTTAGTAAAAAAATTGTGGTTCTAATTAATTATAAGAACAATGTTTTGACTTTATTAATCCGTGCCCCGTCAAACTAGACAAATTACTGAGTAGTAAATTGTCTTCATCCCTTTACTTCGTTTCCCTCTCCCCAAACTCGCAGCAAACAACATCAGAAATCTGTCTCTACCCTGCTTAGCCGACTTCTTCACTGAAACTTTTCTGGCCGTGTAAGTCTAATCTTCATCGTTCTTATTTGTTTTCTTATGGCTAATCAATTGGGTGGATCGATAGTAAATGTTAGGTTTGATATTATCCTCTAGTTGATTTTGATTTTGAGGTTTAATTGTTGAACAAATCTTCCTTTTCGAAACTACAAGTTTGCAGCTTTCCACTGCCAGTTTTCCGGTTATATTTTCCATTCAAAATTTCATGCTTTGTAAACCCATGGATTCAACCGGTGCATGAGTAATTATGAGTTTCTGTTATAGGATCATTACTCCGTATCTTTAATTTCTCCAATTCCAATTCCAGCTAGTTTTGAAAAGTTAGTAACTTAGTTTGGGAATTTTATTGATCAGTTCATAATTTTCGCTGGTAGAGTGCAAGTATACGGACTTAAATTCAGATTTTAATGATTGAGCAATTTAAGTTCCAGATCAAATTCTTCCTCCACTAAACTTCTAGTCTATGGCTCTATTACAAAGTTTTCTTATACAATATTGTCTAATTAAGATCTCATGCTTTTCAAATCATTGGCGGCAGAGAATTGTATTTTTTCACTCTAAAAAAAAAGAATTGTATTTTTTCAGTTTCATGTGGTCACTCTCTTTAGTTAATTTTGTTAGGTAATAGCTTCTGTCATTATGTATTGAGTGAAAACTGATTACGAAGAGTTCTTGAAGGCCACTGCTACTAATTTTAATCATCATAATCAGCCAAGTTTATTTTAAAGTTTTTACTCAACTTTTGGGTCTATTGAATTTAGTTTTAGTTGGTATGTGGCAGTGGCATAAGGCTACCTTAGTTTATGAGGCATAAGATTTTCTTAGTTTGATATGGTTTAAAGCATCAAATTTATAATTATCTTATTATATCTAATTAAAGAATTAAGAGGAGTTTATCGGAAGACGTTATCAAGGGACATGAATTTCGAAAATCAGAAGTGTGCAAAAATTCTTAAAAATAAAACAAATCAGACAGTCTGTATTAGATTTCCCCTTTTTCGTCAGGGTACTTGACAGTAGTTTGAAATAAAAGATTCAAATTTACCTCACCACTTATTAATAAAGGATTCCTTCCTTCATCTATGAGGACTGAGTCAACTTCATCTACTATTGCAAAATGGAAAGGCTTTGGCCTGTTTTCACAAGGTACTTTAACAATGAACTATAATTTTCAGATATTGGTTGCAGTATAGTTTACCATTTCATTACAAGTTGTTCACGTTATTAGCAAGGTTATCTCGTAAATAATCAAAACCAAGTTCCTGGGAAATAACAGAGAAAAGAGGGAATGTCAAAATAGACTAGTTAGTTACAACGTCAATTCACTGAAATGATTATTAGTTATGATGTATCAAAACAAGCTAAGAATAGTTTAAATTGCATGCCATAAATAAGATGTGAAAGAATGTATATTTGGACGTATGAAATATGGAACTCAATACCACTTACTGAATTGTTAGTATATGTTACATCACATCCATAATCCAATCTCCTCTCTTGAGCTGACATCCCTTTCTATACATAAGACAGGTAAGGAGCACAACTTTAGAATTTATTAGAAAAAAATAGTTGATTTTAGTTAAAGATACTTGCAGATTGACATTCAATATGGGTCTTGCAAAGAAAAGAAATATATTGACACATACTAATTGATATGTGTCATTTAATTTTTAATGTTAAACAACCATAATACACACAACGTCATAAAGCAGCCCTTTCTAAAAAAAAGCAGTTCCCCAAATTTTGTTTGAGCCCAAATAAAATGTCTTTAGAGTCTAGAGCAAAAAATATTACACGGATAAGGCCGACAAAAAGACCAAGGAAAAGATGAACCCGTCCCATCCATTCAGCATCACGTTGTGGCAGATATGTAAGAGAAAGAATTTAGTTTTAGTTGGTAGGCGCACGTCTAGGTGGCAGATATGTTCCAGTTCCAACTAATTTCTCCGCTTTATCCTAAAAAATCATTTGGTTAATGATTATTCCATTTCTATTAAGTTTATTTTATTTTAATATTCCTCCAATAAAAAATAAGTTTTAAATGTATATAATTTTTTTAGAGACTTTGATAGAGAGCAGGGAGAGCAAGTGGCGGAGACGGGCTTGAGCCCACCTTCATGGGCTGGCTGCGGGCAATTTAATTAATTTTAATTATTCCTTTTATTTTGTTTCCTAATTTATTTTGTTTCCTAATATGATTTAATTAGGACTTCTATTCTTATTAGAATTAGAGGTTTCCTATTTCTATTTAGTTTCCTAGAATGGTTTTATTAGGACTTCTATTAGAACTAGAGGTCTCGTATTATTTAGTTTCCTATTATGATTTCATTAGGAATCCTATTCTTATTAGACTTAGAGGGTTATATATACCCCTTGTATGCTTCATTCTTGATCATCTATGAAAAAAATTGGAGTTTAGCTTTGGCTCTGGGCAACGGTATTTTTATCGTTGATTATCTAGGCAACTGTTTACCCCGTTGTTTTTTATTTTTCTGCTCTCAACAGACTTAAAACACAATTCTCTTGTTTTTATTTAAAATGTTCTATTAGTTATATTATTATTTACTCATATAAATTTACTACAAAACATAACATTTAATAATTATGTATTTATGTGAGCTAATTTTATTACCAAAATATTATAAAGTAATTAATGAATAATATTCAAACTCATAGGAAATAAAAATAAAACAATAAAACAATATTCTAATAGTCGACCCAGTATTGCCCGACTAGTGCCTAGTGTCTTTTAGAACATTGATTTTTATTGTCTTTGTAATATGGTTTTCCTTTTCCATCATTTGTAATGAAGCCAAATATTCACTATTTTTTGGCTTGAGAATATGATGGAATAAAGCAAAATGACTCACTAAACTGTCTGCACTTCTTTGTTACGAAGCAACAGTCACTCCATTCAATTTTGGACGCGATTTTCACTTTGGGTCATCTGGAAACAGTCTCTCTGTGCTTTAGTACAGGGGTAAGACTGTGTACATCCGACCCCCTTACCCTACCGTAGGTGGGAGCCTTTGCGGCAGTGGGGTAATGATAATGATGATTATGTAATATGGTTTTCTTAAATTGTATGACTACGTATGGTTTATGAAATTGCTAAATGTGTATTGTTGATGTGTTGTTTGCTCTTTTATGACAATTTATATTCTTGTTTGCTTAATTTGTGTGCGTTATGAGCTAGGATTTGTTGTTTTATATATGAACGTTGTACTCTAGTCTATCAAATTAGTAATTATGTGTACCATGTACTTTGACTCTTGTTTAAGAAAAATGTGTGCTCTAGTTTTTTGTTGACGAAGATACTATTGTAGAATTATTGCATCACACAAGATTATTCATTATTGTGACTATTTTATTTTTAATTTAATTTCAAACAGCCAAAACACAAGTGCTAGATCCATCATGGGCTAGGAAAAGTAGAAATGAAATAAATATTAAATTTTCCTCTCTGGTTAAAACTTCTGCTGGAGTTTGATAAAAGGTTGATATCCTTGGCAGTGCAATAGCATCCTCTCTCCTACTGATTTTATGGAGAAAGCTTCACCTGATTGCCCATACCCAGGATGCTTCTTCTGTGTGATGAAAGAAGGAAACCCGAGCAAGCGTAGAACAAGCATTTTAAAGTTCTTCAGGGACCTTCCCACTCAGGATGATGACGGTCAAGTCCTTCCCATCAGTGGTCTTTGGAACACTGCGATGGCCCACCCAAATGATCCTGAGTTCATTGATTTGGGTATATTTGAATGCATGGCATCCCTTATATGGAAAGGCTTGAAGAACCGCCGTTGGCTCTCACATGATCAAAACATATATATTCCCTACTATGCAGCTCACATAATTGGATCGTACACAATGAATATGGAGGACTTTGCTGAACGGGCTGTCCAGTCCCGAGTGGTCCCACCTTTGGTTGAACTTTTAAGCGGGAGGCTAACATGGGTAGAACAACGGGTTGCAGTTCGGGCATTGGGTCATTTGGCAACCTACCCGACCACCTTCGATGAAGTGGCTAGTCACAGTGAGATTCTTGAACTTTCCATCCAGCTAGCAGCGAGTTCGCTTGAGATTGTTTACACGCACTTTTACCAGTATGTCGATAGAAGGCTTAGTTACCATTGTGACCTTCTGACTCGTGGGATGGGAGGAGTTGAGATGGAGTTCAGGAAGGCCGAAGAGTGGGCTAGCCAGCTACAGTGCTGGGCCCTTCAACTCATTAACTGTTTTGCTTTCAAGCCCGAATTTCTTCCTGTTATATGCAAACCAGAGTTTCTTTGTAAACTTCCTGGGATGTGGGGTGGGCTTGTTAATGAGAACTCGCCAGCCGGGGTTGGTCTTTTAAGGACAATTTGTCATCATAAGCTCGGTAGGGGGCCGGTTGCTTCGTGTCCTGCTGTTGTGGATGCTTTGTGCAATATTGCACGCTCATCAGATGACTGGCAATATATGGCTATTGACTGTCTTTTGTGGTTGCTCCAAGATTCTAATACCTGCCTCAAGGTAAATAAAATTCACCAGCTTCTCTTTTATCTCTATGATTATGTTGTTTCAGCCTTAGTTTGATTTCATTGGTTTTTAGGGAAAGTAACTTTATTTGTTGACTTTTAAGTATGTCCTCTTCCAAAAGTATGATAGAAAAAAAATAATTAATGATGTACTTTTCATAGGGGTAAAATAGTATCACTCAAATATTACCAAAAAGAAAAGTAGAAACTTGATTTTGGGATATCCTAAAACGTAAAGTGGGGAATTAATTGCAGGAGGGATAGAGTATTAATTTATGAAATAATGGCAAAACTAGTACCTATGAGTTTCTACGGGGCAAAAATAAGACGTGTTCTATAGATGGACAATAAAGAGACTCAATATTAACGGGTGACTAATTTACCCTGCATTGCTTTGCTTCTTGTCCGCTATCTGCTTAATTAGTTCTTCCTGCGATGCTTCGATTCCTCCCTGTCTTCTGTGCACAACAAATCCTTCGCCCCAGGCGCAGAACATCTCCTGCGTTCCAACCTCCGCCTCCACAGCAAATCCTCCCCCCCTGAATTTCTGCGCAGCGGCGGCGGCCATAAAACTTCCGTCCTCCGCCGACACAGGCTCCGTCGAGCCCGTTCGTGTCTCACTTTCTTCTTCTTTTCTGTTCGTGCGCTGCCTCATAGCTCCAAGCTAGGATTCACGTCGATGTGAGGTGTCAGATCCATGCGTCGCGGTTGATTTGGGCGGCGGCGCGGTTGATTTGGCGGTGGTCAGTTGATTCGGACGGCCACTTTGGTTGTAGGGTTGGGTCACTTGGGTGCAGGGATTTGGGATGCAGCGATTTGGGATGCAGTGAGGGGGCTGGGGAGGTGGCAGTTGCTGCCAGGGCAGCGGTGACTGGAGGGTTGAACCACTACACAGGGATGGGGATGGGGAAGCGGGGGGTTGGGGTTAGGGAGGAGTGTTGTGGACAGGTTGTGGGCTGGTTGAGGGTCAGCGTGGGGCGGCAATGTCATGGTAGTCGGCGACGGTGGCGGCCTGCGGTGGTGGCTACCCGTGATCATTATCGGATTGGATAATTGTAAATGATCAGTCATGGTAACTGTAACTTGTTGATCCGGGTAACTATAAGTGCTCGGTATGGGTAACACCGTAACATTAACTTGTCAATTTGAGTAACTGTAACTGGTCGGTACGAGTAACTGTAACTTGTCGGTTCGAGTAACTGTAACTGGTTGATTCGAGTGACTGTAACTGGTCGGTCCGAGTAACTGTAACTGATCGTTTGAGTAACTGTAATTGGTCAGTACTCGGTACGAATAACTATAACTTGTCTATTTGAGTAACTGTAACTGGTTGATTCGAGTAACTGTAACTGGTCGGTCCGATTAACTGTAACTAATAGATTCATGTAATTGTAACTGATTGGATCGGGCAAATTTAATTGATTTAGTTGGTCAATTGTAATTAGTTAAGTCAGATAACTATAACTGGTCAAGTAACTATTTTTATTGGAAAATATAACTAGGTAACCGTAAATTGGGAGTGCGAAAAAGAACATCTCTTTTATTGGTCTCCTTGCTAGCATCTTTAGAAGTGGGAAATTAATTACTACATATTAATGTATATTGGAGCCGTTGGTGGAATGTTACGTACGTATCTAATTTGATGTGATGCGTATTGACTATTTGACTAGCGAGCAACGCTGCAGGGGTATACTTGACATTCTCATCTCATTTATTTAAATGATGCCACCGGGTGGTCTATTTTCTGGGAAGTATTAGGAGAAGTCTTCTATTTGTCCAAATCATTTTAATTAGTAATATTCATGACCTAACCCCTTAATTTATTCTTGCAATAATCCGTAGTATATAGTCGATATAAAATATCATATTGAAATACACAATTATTTTTTTAAGGCTAAATATATACTACCTCCATCCCACTATGTTTGGGACAAAGGAGTGTGGCACAAATTTTAAGAAAAAGTGGAATTGTGTGGTTGGTGTTGAATTGATAAAGTGTGAATAAAGTAAGAATGAATTGTAACCACCCAAATATTGCCAAATATGATATGGGACAAACTTAATGGTACAAACGAAAAAGGTAAAACGGGACAAAGTTAGGGGGACGGAGGGAGTAATTATTTTCTAGTTTAAGGCTAACACTATAAATAAATTAGGAAAAGAAACATAATCAATCCCCTCCTTAACTTTCCATTACAACAACATCCGAGCCTTATTCCCTAAAGAGTTTGGGGTCGCCTAACATAAATACACATAAAATATTGGAGTTAAAAACAATAAATAGAGACAAAGTGATGAATAATATATTATCAATCCTCCACATCCTTTCCAACCACTTCACACTCTCCAAAGGCGTAGTATCATCTCACAAAAGTATTATCTAACGAACAAGAGAGGAAAATGTTTGAAAATATTTTTGCACACCTTACTAATTTACAAGAGCTACTATTATACAATTACTAAGGAAGTCTATAAGGTAAGTAATAATGCTATCTTAAATGATAAAGATATGTAACGGTTTGTAATTGTCTCTTATGTATAATTTATTTGTTTCTTTCAATACGCCCCCCGCAAGCCAGGTATTCGGTCTCTTCCAAGAATCCTGAGCTTGTCTCCAAGAAGAATAAAGTGTTGTCGAGGAAGCGGTTTGGCGAGGGCACCAACAATCTGATCAAATGATGGAATATGACGAACACCAAGAAGCCCACAATAAACCTGCGGCCGAACAAAATGAAAGCTACATGTTTCGTCCGTGAATGGAAGACAAGGTTTGCTGAGGATATAATACTCCCTCCATATTTAAAAGATGGCTACGTTTGATTATGGCACAAGATTTAAGAAAGAATAGTAAGAGTAATGAATAGTATAGAAAAAGTAGGAGAGAAGGTGAAAAAGTAGGAAAGAGAGGATAAAAAGTAGAAAAAGTAAGGGTATTTGAGTATTTTTAAGGGAAAAACTTACCAAAAAGGGAAAGTGTAGGAAACTTTTAAATACATCCCAAAAAGGAAAGTGTGGGGAACATTTAAATACGGAGGGAGTAGCACTTTTATTATCACAGAAGGAGTGAAGGAGAAATGAGTGGATGTCGCAACTCACGCAACAGCACGCAACAGGGATTTGATCCAAATCACCTCGATACCTGAACTAATCTTTTAAACCTTGCTGTTTGTGGGTGCCTTTCCTGTGGGTCATGCATGAACTGACTAACAACACTAGTAGGATAGGCTATGTCAGGCCTTTTGTAAGATAGAAAAATGAGCTATCCCACGATTCTTTGGTATTGGGTCTTCTCTACTTTTGGGCTCTCTTCATCACTCCCAATCTTCTGATTTTGCTCTATTGGCACTCCAGTGACTTTACAACCCAACTTTTTCGTCTCTTTTAGAAGATTGATGACACGGTTTCTTTACAACAACATCCAAGCCTTAATCTCAAAAGAATTTGGGGTCGGCTAACATGAATCGATCTATGATATCAATGCCAAACAGAGAAGACAAACAAGAAGGGGAAAAAGCAAGACAAAATGGATGAAATAAAGATAAATAAATATAAGATAACAATAAATATAAGATAACAATAACATAAGAATGTTAGAAAGATAAAAGATAAAAAGATAAAAAGATAAAAAGATAAAAGAGCATGAAAAAGCTAGAAGATAAAAAATAACATAAGAATATAAAAAGATAAAGAAGATAAACGATAAAAGAAAAGAGAGAGGAAAGGTAGAAAAGACATCAATCGTCCACACGGATGTGCGCCCTCCTCTTTACTCTCTCCAAAGTCATACTCTCATCCAACCTAAGAAGACGCATATCAATTCTGATACCTCTATTCCAAGTCTGTTTGGGTCTTCCCCTCCCTCTCTAAAAGGTTCTGATTCCTTTCACTCTATCGCATATCAGTTCTCTGCCTCTTCTCCCCATCCCTCAAGTCGTCTAAGAGGTGCATCACTCGGTCTTCTACGCACATGCCCAAACCACCGCAAACAAGACTCCTGCATCTTATCTTCTATAGGTGTTACTCCCACCTTTTGTCTGATTGTCTCATTCCTCAAGCGGTCTTTTCTGGTATGTCCACACATCCAACGTGACATATGCATCTCTGCCACACTCATCTTTTGAATGTGACATTGCTTCACCGCTCAACACTCTACTGCATACATTAATGCAAGCCTAACTGCTGTACGATAAAATTTACCTTTCAGTCTAGTCGGCATGCCTCTATCGCATAGAAATCCCGATGACATAGTTTTTTGTGAAACAAAAATGCCTTGTTTTGAGTACGGTGCCTCCATATAATTTTTTAACTTTTCAAAGTCCTCCATTTCAAGCTTAGCTTCTAGCTCCCTTCTCATGTTCTGCTTTTCAAGTTGATCATTACCTGAAATGATCATATCGTCTACATAGAGTAGCAGAAGGGTCAGTTTTCCATTTTGTGTCTCTTTTTATAGGGAGGGTTTGATAACCTTGGCTTTGTACGCTACTGATACCATGGCTTGTTTTAATGTTTCTTGTAGGGCTTTAATAGGGCCAATAGCTGAAATAAAACTCTGGTGCCACGCAGAAAGATTTGTAATAGACACAAATTGGGATATAGGATACTTTGTGTATGACCATTTTTTTCTTAAAGCAGGCAGATTATGAAGGTTAGATTCAGAGTTATTAGACTAAGGATTAAGAGCTCGTAAACAAGATCGACTAGGCTCAAGATTAGGGTCACTTTCATTAGGTTCAGATAATAAAACATTTTTGTTGGATTGGGACTGGTATAAGTTTCTGCTAGAATTATTCTGAATTGGTATTTGCTCAGAATCATTATTATTGCCATAATTGTTCTCAAGGGTAAGAATAGGGAGTGGCTTTGAGAGTTCGTGTATCATAGGAAGACCAGAACACTCAAGAGAAATATTTTCCAGTCTATTTCTGTTTTCCATTCTCCAATTTTTTGTTTTCATTTTTCAGTTTTTCTATCTCCAATTTTTTGTTTTCATTTTTTAGTTTTCCATTTTCAAATCTGAAAACATGTTCTACAAATTTTTTCACTCGATTCTGTGACAGACCAGAATGCCGAAAGTACGATCCCAGTTCGGAACCGAATCTAGTAGAACCCAATTAGGGTAACAAATTCTTTTTCCCATTTTCCTATTGATTGACAACTCAACGGCTGTTTTAAAACTTTCTACTTTAAAAAATGATATTTACAAACCCAAGACTGAACCATTGGGTCATTGATCGGCACGAACAAGGGACCACCGAGTCATTGATGAGACTAGCCCTGGACCACCAGGTTGTCGATCACACTGAAAACAGACCGTCGAGTCATTGACCAGACAGAATGGGGACCGTGGGGTCGTTGATCAGACAAGACGGGGACTGCCGGGTTGTTAATCGGACTGGAGGGGGACCGCCGAGTTGTTGACCAGACCAGATAAGACCTGGAGTTCCCGACCGTCGACCGGACCGAACAGGTAGTGTTTGGTCGTGAATTGGACCTGACAGGGACTGTCGGGTCATCGACCGGACTGGACAGGGACCGTCGGGTCGTGGATCGGATCAGACAGGGACCATCGGGTCATGAACCGGACTAGACAGGGACCGCCGGATTGTCGATTGGACCGGACCAAGATTGCTTGACGCCTTGACTGTTGATCGAACGGGACAAGGACCGCCGGGTCAATGACCCGATCGGACCGTCGGGTCGTTAATCAGACCAGATAGAAATCGTCGGGTCATTGACCGGAGCGGGACCGAATCCATCACTAGGTGTAAGTATGCAAATTCATTGTAACAGCACTGCAGCATCCGCGTTTTCTAAATTTGGAAAACTAGTAAAAGTCACTTCTCCAATTCATTAAGGAAGAGAAACATATTTCATTTTTTTGGTTTTGGAAAATGATTTGGTAAACACATTTTTGTGTTTTCCTTTCTCCAGATTTTGAGCAATTTTAGTTGGTAAACACGTTTTCTGTTTTCCGTTTTCCGGATTTCTAATTTTCTGGAAAACTAGAAAATATCTCTGTTAGTAAACATGCCCTTAGCTTCCTATTTACTCCCCCCCCCCCCCGGAGCTGAGAATTAGGATAAAATGATTCTGTTTTTGGGAAGTGAACTTACATGGATATATAGCCATGACAAGTAGTTGGATGATGACACTTGTACTCTTTGTTACATGACGCATATCCTAAAAAGATACTCCCTCCGTCCTGAATTATAAGATATTTTTTCGGTTTACAATGTTTGACCGACAATATAGCAAACGGATCCCTCTCTGCACTCAAACTATTTTTAGAAAAAAAAATTACATATTCAGAAACTACATTAAAACCGCTACAAAACTTGCAAAAAGTAATTCAAATTTCATAAAATTTTGATATTTAAAGTAAGAGATTAAGAGTGATTTGTGTTGACCGAGTGAATAGTAAAGATATCTTATAAAATGGGATAGAGGGAATATATTTAAGAGCGTATCCTATAAAGATATATTTAAGAGCCGTGGGGCCTGACTTACTCCTATGACAACCATGAACTGATGAACATTAACAAATGCAGAACAACAAAAAATAGGGAAAATTAGGCCCTCGTACTTCTATAACACCCAATTAAACCCCAAAGTTATAAAAAACACCCAATTCCAAAATTTAACAAGTGACTCGCCGGTTCCTCGGTTACCAAGTGATGTGGCTCCTATTACTTTTTAATTTTTCTTTTTTATATGCCTAGTCACCTTCGTCACTTCCAAGTTCCAATATCCAAAGTGAACATGGGAAAAATATCTTCTTTCTGGTTCTCCTCTAAATGGGAGAAGAAGTTTTTCTTCTTCTTTGCTTTCCTCTTCCCTTTTACTTTCTTCTCCTTTGTTTGAATCCGATGAGGAGTGGAATCGCATTGAATAAGGTTTTAATGGGGATTGTCATTCTTAAAGGAAGAGCAGTAGCATGAACATCTTCATTTCTTGCTACTTGCAATTCAACATCCAAATCAAACCTGGTTGTGGGTGTTATCATTTGGGTCTTGAGTGGCATATTTATTATGATTTGAATCCATGTCCTTGAAGAAGAATTTTTGGGAGAAGAAGCTGCCGGCGGGATACATGAGGGGTATTTGATTCTCAACACAGTAACGCTGCTGGAGCTTTTTCATCTTGTGATGACACTAAGCGGAGGTCTTCGCCAGAAAGCGTTTGTGAGTGGGGGACTGGGGACTGTGGTTTGCTCAACATACCCTCTTTTTTCTTCCAACCTCTTTTGCCCTTGATAGCAGCATCTTTTTCTTCCAGAAGCTTGACCCTTTTAATGAAAATGTCTTTTAATATCTCAGAATCCTTAAATCTCACAGAAGCTACCTCCAATTCATACCTCTCTGCATCTGATGCCTTTCTGTTAGAGTATTTTTGAGAATTAGGGAATAGCAGGGACACATTTTCATTTTCGTGCTTGTCAATAATCAATATTCCAGTCTTAATAACGTTCTCAGGTACCAAGTGATAAGCACACTTTGATGAATGCAGATCAATCTCCCTTCCTGTGCGGTTATAACTTCTGTTAATGGACACCTCCTCCTCGTATGATGTAGCCTGCGAACTGATGGTGTCTCCTCTGTCTTAAGTCGTACTAGGGTTCACATAAAGATATACCAGCGATTTGGTCCATTTGGAGTCTCCTCCTGATAGCATCATACATTGACCCGAGCTAATAGCCGATGAAGAGACCTGCAAACAAGGGAGATCTATTTGTAACGCAAATTGATGACTTTGAGATACTGTTTGCAACGAAGCTGAAGCGGCTTGCGATGGCATCTGCGAACCAGTAGAATCAGCTAGTGACTGCGAACTAGAAGCAATGACGAACGACGATGCTGAGTTGATTATGGAATTCCAACAGCGCCTAACTGTTCTCGATCCAACATCTTTTCCATCCTCGTGAACTGGCTTCTAGTGCTATTCTCCATATGCGCATGAATAAGAGGTCATTCTTTACTCCAACGATTGATGCTCTGATACCAATGATAAGAATCGATCCTCACAGCAACAGTAAACCAACAACGGAAAACGTAAAGAAAGAGAAGAAACAGATTTGAGACTCTTCGAGAGGCCTCACTCTCCCAGTCTAATTCCAACTGAATTCCAGACTGCCCTCTCCTCTTCTATTCCTTCTATTTATTCTTTTTCAAATGAGGCTTCCCTCAATCTATCTAATTACTTGGCCCATCCCACTATTACATTTTATTAAAATATTAAGCCCATTAGTCCAGGTCTCTATCAATGTCACATGGCTTCTCTTCAATCCACTTAGTTTCTTGTACACACATAATGCTGATGTTCCTCTTTCTCATAATCTCAACTACTTCAGATGATCTTCCCTTAAGAGGCCCAATATTTCATGTCCCAGAGTGCAATCTAACACTCCACCTTCTATTTTAAACACCACCTCAACCCCCACTATGTCCTCACACATTTGACACCACCCCCAGGCAATGGGGTGTCGTATCGCTTGCGGGCGACGACCTTGCAACCTTAGCATTTTTATCACCACACTCGGGCCTATGGAATATAGTTAGCCCTTTCATTTTTATCACCACACTTGGGCCTATGGAGTATAGTGAGCCCTTGAATGTTTGACATCACTTCGGGTGGGGGGATACGTGTCGCTTACGACCGACGACCTAGCTATAACGATATTCATATTTCGATTCATGTCATGTGATGTGACTAAATGATAGTGTTGACTCTCATGCGCCTACCACAACACTCTCTTCCTTTATCCTGACTTGGGACAAGCATGATACAAAAATGAGCTCATGCTTAGTTTTTATATATGGTAAACTAAGTAAAGATTTATAAATCGGTGGCTTCTCGATCACACAAGAACACATAAAAAGTATGCCAAGGCTCCCCTTCGGAATCTCTAACATATATATTGTACTCCCTCCGTCCCGTAATTAACTTCCCACCTCGATTTCACACATATTAAGGAAATAAATTTACTCGAGGGTAAATTTTACTGTTTCAACACTGTTTTGACACTATTTGACATTGTTTTGCACTGTTTTGATGTAGAGAATTTTCCAAATAAGGAAGTGGGAAGAAGTCGGAATTTAATTTCGGGACTGCCCGAAAAGGAAAGTGGGAAGTTAATTTCAAAACAAGACTTGTTAGGGTTTAGTGTTGACACATTTAATGCATGGGCCTTTTATAAATAAAATACATTAGGCCTTATTAAGTTACAACCGCATTATAACCCACTGAGTTGGTCCAGTTCATACAAAAATACAAGTCCGCGATTTACGAAAGAAGACCTCTATCTCCTTTGGAGGGCTTTAAGGAAACATTCATTCATTAACAAGCAATGTTAAAAGTATAAATGTATAATACTTTTGTAACTGTAGTGCATATGTTCCACTTGCTGCTATTGCTCTTTTAGGCTGATTTTTTTTGTCAATAACCCAAAATGCTACCAAATATTTATTTTTTATGTTACATAATTCTAACTTATTTATATTACCTCCATAGGTAATTGACAAGGCAGTTCCAGCACTTGTTGACCTTGCTGAAATCTCAACCCTAGGGGACCACAAGAAGCTTGGAGACTTCATCGTCAACGTTCTTCAACAATGCATTGAATCACATGCAACGGGACGTACCCCAATTAGCATTCATGTTAAAGAACAAGTAGGAGAATTATTAAGTTCCAGACTAAGGTTAAAACGGGAAAAGAACATGCCCAAAGAGGATCTCCACATCAAACAGGCAGCGGCACTCGTAGTAAAACTCGAAGGAAATTCACTCTTTTCCTCCGGTAACATTTCAGGGGCTGCTGTAAAGTACTCGGAAGCACTTTCTTTGTGCCCTATGAGATCCAAGAGGGAGAGGGTTGTACTATACAGCAACCGGTCACAATGTCATCTTCTTCTGCAGCAACCTGTGGCCGCCATTAGTGATGCCACGCGTGCGCTTTGTCTTCATAATCCGGTCAACCGTCACGCTAAGAGTCTTTGGAGGAGAGCACAAGCTTATGACATGATGGGCTTAGCGAAGGAGAGCTTATTGGATGCGATTTTGTTCATTAACGAGTGTTCTCAATCTAAAGATCCAGATCTTACCTTAAGGCAGAATAAGGTTCCTGATTATGCGGAACGGTTGGTTAAGAAGCAGATGAGGGTTGCTTGGTTGTTTAGGGAGGCGGCTATTAAGCATGGAGGGGTTCAATTTGAAGGTGGTGGTGGTGGTGGTAGAGAGTCTGATGATGATGACTCGGAATGGGAGACAGCTAGTGAGAGTGATATATGGAATGATGAGAGGGATGATATTTGCGACTGGGGAAATGATGTTGAAAGGAAGGACAAGAATGAGAAATGTTTGATGAAAGGTAACTTTGACACTTCTTCTTTCTTGTTGATTAAATCTCTCATAGTTTTGTAATGTTTCCTTGTTTTCCAAATGCTTGTTTAAAGCTGTCCCATTTTCTAAATCTGGATGGTTAGAAGATTTAGTAATAAAGTAATCATGAACTAAATGGACATTGTTCACAAAGAACTGCCCATTACGCAAACCATAAAGTAAACCTTGTTGCCCACGTTTGATGGAGAAGACCCGATCGGGTGGATAGCTAGGGCTGAACAACAGTTCGAAATTAATCAAACCCTACCTGAGAGGAAAGTGGCAGCAGCTATGGTAGCCATGGAAGGGGCTGCCCTGTACTGGTTGACGTGGTTGAAGGCACGAAAACCGAACATGACCTGGGAGGAATTCACACAAGCACTGGTGGGCCGATTTGATTCACGGTTCAAAGGAAGCCGATTCGAATGGCTGTCGGGGTCAAACAGTTGGGAACCGTAGAGGAATATAATAACCTTTTTGTTCAATTGGCCAGTCAGGTTCCCGAAGTGTCCGATGATCATTACTTGGGGTATTTTATGAACAGACTGAAGGTATCGATTCGTGGATCCTTGCGGTTGTTGCGGCCAAACAACCTGGAGATAGCATTGGAATTGGCCAAAGACATTGAGAATCTGTCCTTTCAAGATGGAGACCGGGAAAGCCAACTCTACAAGACGAAAGTGCGTTCAGGCAGTTTTTCGAGTCCAGGTGGGAACAACAACACGGCTATGAGTGGTGGAAACATACAAGGATGGGTGACAGCTTTCAGAAAGATATTGGGCAGAGAAAGATAGTGGGCAGCCTCAGGGGACAAATTCAGGGCTGTCTGGGCAGTCTACTGCACGCTCTAGGTTCACTCGACTTCCGCCGAAAGAGTTAGCAGAATTGCGGGTACAAGGATTATGTTTTAGGTGTAAGAAACCATTTACACCGGGGCATGACTGCCCCTTTAAGCAGCTACGGGTAATGATAGATGAGGATGAGGAGTTGGACCTCCAACAACATGAGTATTGTGAAATAACCAGGCAGGAAAAGGTTCAAAAAGACCAGGGGGTCCAGAAGGAGATGAGGGATATTTTTCACTCTATTCTATGGCTGGATTTTTCAGCCCTGGATCTACGAGATTTCAACCTTGAGGACAAGGTTATTTTGAAGGAGGATGGGTTGACAGAGAGTAGGAAGAACATGGGCGGGGACGGGCTTGAGCCCACCTTCCGTGGGATGGCGTAGTGATTTTAATTAGTTCCTTTAGTTATTTCCTTTTATTATGTTTCCTATTTTATTTTGTTGGCTAGTATGATTTAATTAGGACTTCAATTAGAATTAAAGGTTACCTATTCTATCTAGTTTCCTAGAATGGTTTAATTAGGACCTCTATTAGAACTAGAGGTTTCCTATTCTATTTAGTTTACTATTATGATTTAATTAGGATTCCCATTCTTATTAGACTTAGAGGGTTATTTAAACCCCTTGTATGATTCATTCTTTACCATCAATCAATAAAATTGGAGTTTAGCTTTTTGGCTCTCAGCAACGATTTCTATTGTTGATTATCTGGGCAACAGATTTATACCGTTGATTTTTATTTTTCTGTTCTCTACAAACATCCACTTTATCCTTTATTTTCTTGAAACCCGTGCCAAACCCCACATTTATCTTACATCTTGGGACAGAGGGAGTAATATATTATGATAAGTAGTCCATTTAGTCCATTTATGATAAGTAGTCCATTTATCCTCACTTAAGTTCCTCAAGTTCCTCCTTTTGAGATGTCTTGAGTTGGAGTTGCCTTAAGGAAAAATTACTTAATCAATGTTTAGTCTCATGTCAACTTGTCAAGCGACCGTGTTGGGGTTATCACTTGTTGGGAACCTTGAAGTATTAATCAATCAGTCATGGGTCCTTTGGGAGCTATACTGAGAGACCAGGTCACACATAGTCACTTAGGGTTCATCTCCTAGTGTGCACAGGTATATAGACAACGTTGAGAACGTGGACGACAAGCTAAGTAGTTCGTGATATACATCTTAAGGTTTAGGGTTCTATTCTTCAAAGATTAGAATTAGCCTGATGAAGCCAAAAACTTGGTTTGTATAATACAAAACGTAGCAAAACAACTAAGTTGCTTTTTTTTTTCATGTTTGCTTGTTGCTTCTAATACGTAGAAATCACTAGGGTGTGATTAATTATGAATAGAGTAATTGTCTCTTTAAAACCACAATTTTTGTTTATTGGTCAGCTGTTAAAGAACGCATGCACTATGTGACAAGCTATGTGGCTACCGAATGAAGCCTCAGTCTCCTGCTATTTTTTATTTGCGTGCATACCGACTAATATTTTGCTTCTGGCTAAACACGTAACCACCCTTGTATCAATGTGGACAGGTACTAGACATGGATATAGCATGCAGCTAGCAGAAGATGAAACATGATTTTCAGGAATGCGCGTTTGTTCACTCTTTACGTGAAAATTTCAGGTCACTTGAACTTTTGGAAGCTGTATTTATGAAGGGTTGACATGTCTGTCCAGTTTTTCTATTTGCAGCAGGTAGCTTCCTTTCTCACGTTCTATCTTTTCTTCATAAAATAAATTAAATAATGCAATTTTAGAGTGGGGATGTATCCATTTATAGTTTTGGCTCCAGCATTTTCTATATATTCTTTGAAACCATAATTGAACCTACATGTGTATAGATAGAGAGCTTTAAGATTTTCGGCTTTAATGTGAAATAATGAGTTGTTCTTTTGGCATCAATCTATATTATCAAGTGGTGTTACCTATGCCTTTTTGGGAAAACTGTCATTGATTTTTAAATGCCCAGACAGTTGAACTGTTGAATTATCCTGCAACCTGTAAATTCTTGATACACTATTAACTGTGTGATATTAAATTGCCTTCAAGTGCTAATCGTTTTGTTCTTCTATTCTACATTTCTACCTTTCAAGCAGGACACAACTATGTGTTGTCCATTGTGATGTGTAAAAGTGCAGTTTTCACTATATTGCATGCATAAAATGAAATACCATTGCAGTCATTATCATAATGGAACTTTTGTGATCGAAGGAACTTGCGTGTTTACAACAAATTGTTAACTTCGGATACAATTTTATTACATACAATCTAAATTTAAAGCTTAAAAGTTATTTGTCTGTGCATTTAGGTGTTGGACTTATAAAGTATGGGAACCAAGTTGTTTTGTATGCATATTTGTGAAGGTCTGGGGTTATAGCGTCTTTAGAGATTCTGTTCTGGTGTCAATACCAAATGATCAAAATCACTCTGTTTACTATACTCAATCGATTTGTTCACTTTATTCACTGAATAAGGTATTGAATGCAAAGAATATTACTCCGTAATATATTGGACGACAAAAAATCACTTCAAACTTCTTTTTTGAGAGAATGAATTAGGATACACCTATACTATATATTTGGAGAAAGTGGAACTTTGGCTTAGTTGTTAATTTCACGAAGTTTAGATTGTTTTGTAGCCACCCAATGGATTCTTTGTATTTGAGAGGTCGAGGAATATGTTTTGAAAAAAATGAAGTGGGACTAAAAATTAATGAATAAAGTGTGACTATTAACAGTAATAGTTCTTTCATCTCAAAGTGATTTGCAGTATTCTTTTTTTAGTTAATCTGGTTGATTTTATTTAGAACCAATGACAGAAATAGTACTTCTGACTTTTGAGTGTACAAAGTACAAACAGCCAAACAGGACCATATTTAAATTTGGACAACTATCATCTAAATACCCAAAATTACTCTAGGCTTTCACCACCTCTAGGACCTGTCTTCCATCTCTTTGCGGCTCTGCCTATCTCTAGGCCGATGCCTCCACCAACGTCCACCACATCCATGCCACTGACACTCCACGTTGCCTCTGCCGCATCCACATCGCCAAAGCCGACTCCATAGGTTTGCTACTCTTCTCCTCTCTTCTTTCTCTTCTTTTTTGTTTGTGTGGATGGGGGTCGAAAATCCTGTAGATCTATTGATGGCAACAAGTGCAGGGTACTATTGATAGCGATTTGTGGTGAGCGACAGGAAGGCAAGTGATGGCTTGTTAAGGGACGACATTGAGAAGAGTGATTGCAGTTTGAGGATGACGAAGAGTGGCAACAGTGAGTCAGTGATGGAAGCTAGGGTGACAAAGGCGGTTGGGGCTGATAGCGAAGCGTACGGGCAATGTTTCGGGGTTAAGGTTGGGAGTAGGGGCTGAGGGTTGTTGGCTTTGAGATGGGGGTTGGGTAGGCTGGTGATGGGCTGGCTGCTAGGGTTACAAGCGGTGGTGGTGGGATGGCGGTGGGGGTCTAGGTTGGGGCCGGTGGGATGGGGGTTGTGTCTGGTGGATGAGTGTTGGTGGCTGGGGGTTGTGTCTGGTGGATGAGTGTTGGTGGCTGGGGGTTGGGCGCAACGCTGGCTTAGGTTGGTGGGGCAAATAGCTAGGCTGGTCTGGTGGGATAAGGGGAGTGGCACGACTGGTGGAGTAGGGGCGGAGGGCAACATGAGGGCGATGGATTACCATAATAAAATAGGTCACTGGCGAGCAGGTCACTTAGGTGGCGGTGTAACTGTCACTGGGACGACACTATAACTATCACAGACGATGGCAAGTGGCAGCCGCGGGTCACTGTCATTGTTGCATGATGCCAATGAGACCACAGCCACCGTATGCTGGAATGAGAGCACAAATGTCTTATTAATCACTTTTTGTCCATGAGTTTTCATTTAGTATTATTTTTGGTAAACCCCTTTTTAGTTATTTGAGATATCAAATTCTTATCATATTCTAATAGGGAAAAATAAATAAAATATCTCAAACTTTGAAGGAGTGTGAGATAAATACCTCAAACTTTCATATGTAATTTAAATACCTCAAATTTTATATAAAAAGTTTTTTTTAGCAAAATGGTCATATATTATTTTTTTTCAAAAATAGAAATTTAAGGTGTTAATTGCATAATTTAAAAGGAGTAGCAAATAGAAAATGGTGCAATTATATAGAGTGGGGGTAGTATTTTTTATTTTACGGAAGTTTAGAATGTTAATTGTATCTTCATGAATGCTAAAATATTTTAAATTATGAAATTAATACAAAAAATTAACATTTTGGAAAGAAATAATGCCTGACCATGGTGCTAAATTTTTTTTTTATAAAAAGTTTTGGGTATTTAAGTTACATATGCAAGTTTGGGGTGCTTACCTCACACCCCTCAAAGTTTGTAGAGTTTTTATGATAGTTTCTGATATGTATATTTAATGATTATAGTTGATTCAGCTATAAGCACGAAAAAATTAATTTTATCGTCAAACCACCTTAAAACTGCAAATCACAAATCAATTAGGATTGAGGAAGTAGTATTTATAGTGTCTTTAGTTATTATAGTAGTGTTTTCAGTTTTCACATACAAATATACAATTATATGTGATCCTATTTGTGTTCCCAAATTATAGTTTACGATATAGTATTTAATGAAAGATCCCATAACTTTATTTTGGGAATAGATTTTTTCCATTTGATGTATTATTTTGATTAGGGGTGGGATCGGGATGATTCCGGTTGCCCAAATCCCGATCCTGTCCTGATACCCATTCAAACTACAAGAGGATCCCGTATCCCGTCCCGATTAAGTCGGGATCCCGACATTAAAATCCCAATTAAGTCTGGATCCCGATCGGGAATCCCGCTAAATCCCGACAATGAATTATCAAACATATAATTATGTAGTTTCTTTAGTTAAACACTAACTTTGATATTTAGTGGTTTCACGATTATTCTTTGTTCATTGTTATACCACAATACCACATTTATCATCATCTACTTATAAAATTTATTGTAATAATTATCATCTCAAATTCACAATAGTACATACTTTTAGAATAATTTTTATTTCTAACTTCAATTAATTAATAGTATAATTTTTGAATAAGCTATCAAAGTTTAGTGAAACTTACTTCAAACATTATATAAAAATCACTAAAAGAAGGATGTGTAACATATACTCCGTATTATTTAAAATTCAAAACTAAGTAGACTCATTGAGAAACGGATTAGATTTTCAAACTTACCAGCCTAAACTTGATTAGATTTTCTGGTATAGGAAGGATTCTTTGAAACGGATTCCATATAAAAGTTCAACTTGCACATGTTGCTTGTTGACTTGTTGTTCCAAATGCGTTTAAATGAAAATGTAGGAGATTGTACAAATCTTAATTCATTATATGATGAGGAGAAAGTGAAAACCCCATTTTGATCAAGTAACCAAATCATATCTACAGCCTGATTTGTTTTTTTTATAATGATTGACCCAAATAATTAATTTTACAAATTCTTTTCCAAATCATAAAATTAAAGACTAGGATTCATATTAGAATCTCTTGGACATCTACGGTACACACAGACTTGGATATACAACGTCCCAAGCATATCATATAATGGGGGGCGGGGGCGGGGGGGGGGTCTCTCTCGAATAAAGAAATACACTCTACATTTGTTTGTACAAGTCATCTCGACCATAATCCCCTCACTGATGTCACCTCGGCTACATGCTCCCAGACCACCTCTCAGGAACAAGGACAACACCAGACCCAAGGTGCACCCCTACACCTCGGCCCAAAGAGAACACTTGGGCAGAGGTCGTTTAGAGAATGACACGCGTCAAATTCTGCTACGCCACAACGCAGGGGTTTTGTAACATTTTCAAGTGCTTAGTGGAACAGTGGACTAAAGAAATACTCCCCCCGGTTTTTAATAGATTTCACACTTTTCTTTTTGGGACGGTCTAAAATAAACTTCACACTTCCTTATTTCCTTTTTTGGCAAAGAAATCTACATCAAAACAGTGCCAAACAGTGCCAAATAGGCCTGGACTCGGGCCGGGCGGCCCGACCCGGAACCGGCCCGGCCCGGCCACTGTAGCAACCGGCCCGGCCCGGTGGCCCGGTTCACCGGCGGTTCGGGTCGAACCGGCCCGGTGGTTCCCGGTTCCGGGCCCGGGCCTTCCATATGGTGAACCGGCCCGGCCGGTTCGGGCCCGGTCCGGGCCGGAAATAATTTTTTTTTTATTTTTTTTTTAAATTTTTTTATGTTTTGGGTTAGATTAGGTATTTTGGTCCATTTGAGGTGGTTTGGGGTGGTTTGGGGTTGAGAAAGAGGGGTAGGGGATTAAATAAAGAAGCCAAAAAACAAAAAAAAACAAAAAAAATAGGGCGGGTGGCCCGGCCCGGAACCGGCCCGGTCTGGCCCGGAACCGGCCCGGAACCGGCCACCCCCGGTTCGGGCTCGGGCCTCAATATTCTGAACCGAGGCCCGGCCGGGCCCAGGCCCGAGGCCCGAACCGGCCCGGTTCAGTCCACCCCTAGTGCCAAACAGTGTCTCAACAGTGCCAAACAGTGTCTCTACAGTGCCAAACAGTGTCAAACAGTGCCTCAACAGTGTACTCTACAGTAAAGTCAAATTTCTTTCCTTATTTTGTGTGAAGTCAAACTGTGAAGATTAAAAAAAACCGGAGGTAGTATGTTGTTTCTTGAACCACTATAAAATCCCTGAGACTCGGTATCATTTAGTTACTGCTCCTAATTTTTTGTACTAGGCTAAATTGTTTATTCAAACGAGCGTAAACTTTGTGCTCTAGCAGATTTCACTCTAAGAGAAATAGAAGAGAAATCTGCCTTAATGTTTTTTCAGGCTACTCGACCAGAACTACATATTCCATTGTAGGCCAATTCTGTCCAAATTTGTGTCAACTCTATGAGACGGACAATTTATGTCTCGCAAGAAAAGAGAAACCAAGAACAGTCTATTCACCCTTTTCTAGACATTTTGTCTAGTATTAACTGGTACCAAATATTATTTAGAAAAAATGCCACTACTATTGTTCCTCAGAAAGCG